GTGACACGTTTGGGTCGTTTGCTAGACGGTTAGCACAAGAATGGACAGAAGAAATGGGAGCGGAGGCTTTGGAGGAACGAAATGATTCTGTGGCACAAACGTCAGTGAAGCTCATGCCATACTTTAAACGGAAGGCCTCTGAGCAATATAACTTTGGTACGCACAAGGCTCGTAGGTTGAACCGGAATTTATTGCACGAGAAGGTCAGTGGGACCCCAACCTACTGCGTACTATGTAGTTGGGTCAAAAGAGGGACAAAAGACGGGCGACCCAAGACACTTAGAAAGGGCTCACGCCAGGTGCAGTGGTGTTCTACATGTAGGCAGGCTATCTGCTGCAGCTGCTGGACGGTCTGGCATTCTCGCCCTACACTGAAGCGACATGGGCCCTCTCCTGTCCATGAGAGGGAGTTTGACTCTGAGCGACGCACTTCTCGACGAACAAGGCAGGCCTCACAAGCCCCAGAGTGAAGCTCGTAAAATGTCTGTAGAACAAGGCCATCAGCTATGATTTTTAGATAGGTTTGTGATGGTTTGTTGATGTTGGAGATGATTGTGAGACGTTTCCCTCAGAACGGTGTGAGAGTCACAAAAAAATTGTGTGTGAATCACAAAACAGTCAACAAAAGAGCACTTCGAGATGTTGACGTCACAAAAATAAAGTGAGATTCACAAAAACAAAGTGAGATTCACAAAACTCGTGAGAACTTTGAGACGTTTGTGTGCATTTTGTGAGGTTTATGCCCCGATCACAAAATAGGACCACCCCACACTTTTCGGGAGGACACTACTCGAAAAGTACGGGTCTCCTGGAGACAAAACGTATATCTTCTTAACGACAACACAATTCTGCGTTCGACGAACCTACTCTCGAGACGTAGCGCTGAACAAGACCGAAGCAGGGGGAAAATAACCCGACTGGGGCAAAAAATAGCCGTCACAAAAAACGAGCACAGGGATACACCACTGTACAAACACGTGAATGAAAATCCATACTGCGAGACAGTTTCAACCGTTCGAGCTATGCTGTTCTGGGCATGGCCTAGCATCTATCTCAATCGCTGCTCTGACACATAAGTGATCCGCGGAAGGACATGCGCAATGTGAACCAGAGTTTTGGGTCACACTTTTTTTAATGAAGCAGTGGTGACCTTTCAAAAGCCAGTTTAGTTTCCGAAGCTGGGTTTTCTACAGCGTCTATTAAAACATTGTTGCCGACGTCCAGGCGATGTAGTAATGTACTATGATGGTGAGCTCCCCTGGATCTCGTGATAAAGCCAGCACTTGGCGTTTGGCGAGGCCGAAAGCTTCTCAAAACAGCATATGCTTCGACTCGAGACCTGCGCCGCTTTGGAAAGTAAAACATGGTCATACATAATCGAAACGTTTGGGGTTGAGAGATTAATTTCTCAGTCTCAAGTTTACTGATGACAAGAGGCCCTTGATAGAAAACAAAGATCCGCCATAGCAAATATAAGGAGCGCCTAACGAACTATCAGTGCAAAATGAAACTGCAGGTGGCCGCTACCTGAAAGTCAGCAAGCTTGCATTCGGCAAAACTTTTCCTGTATAAAACACGAATTATATGGAACATTATCGAAAGCTTTCTCCTCTAGCACAATGATGCAGTAACATTTACTTATCCAAAAGGCTTTTTCAGGGAAATGACCCTCCCGCGTAAAAGGACACAAGCTATGTATGGACTGGCAAGTGCTGCTTCAAATATGTAAGAGCATCCAAATCCTCCCGATCTTGCATGTTTATATTTTCATCCATCTATGAACCTACGTTGCACGTAGTCAGCATGACGCCTTCCCCCGCCTCTTAACCAGAGATGCGGTCTCCTAATTGTTAGAAGACCCATGCCCGCATCTGCACACTCGCCACTTCGTGGACACATTAGCAACAGCATCGCCATGGATCTAATGTCAAGAGGATATCACTGCAGGGAATGTTGCTGATTTTATTTTAAGACTATTTATTCAAGGAGATAGTGAGAGGAGAAGACCAAAGAGCTACCTCTCTTTCTTCACACAGACCCAATATATCTGATATGCCCTGTCTTGTATGTTTGGTTTTGTCATACTCGTCGAGAGAAAACAACCCGGGCGGTCATTCGACCGCCCAAAGTATGAAGTAAAAAATAAATAAATGCGATGTATTGGCAGAAATAGAACCGCCCTGGCATGTCCCCAGTTACATGGAATACATGGTAATGTAAAGGAATGAGAAGTGTTTACAAAATTATTTATTACGCATACCCTTCGAATGCCTCAACACCCCGGTTTGCATTAGTTTAATGCACAATTCGTTACTCGGGACTTCAACAAAAATTTCGGATCACGCAATCCTTGCGTCTATCATAGCCATTCTGCCACTGCGTACATAAAACTGGATAATTTGGATAAACTTTCTTTTCGTTTAGCCTGAAGATTCTAATTCATTGATCAGGCCCATGTACTGACATGTCGACAAGATATATTGAAAGACAGAGAAGTGAAGGGGAGTGATAAGGTAAAAGTGTTCTGTGGATTGAACACTCAAGGACGTTTACAAATGGAGGAATTTTTCGTCACGTTGAAAAGCTCCTGAGTTCAGTTCATCAACTAACGGAAATAGTGGAGTCTCAAAATCACAGTACCTTTCTGGACCTTTGACGTCATCTCAGAATTTGAAAGAAAACTAAAACAATGGGTTTTTCTCACAGACCGATTGCCCATCCTCATCGAACCACTCGGCGTAGCATCCGCCACAGTAGTTGGTAACACATCGAGCCCCTTCATGGTCACATAGCTCCCGCGAGCTACATGGGTCGCGAACACAACTAACCTTTGGAACGTTTGTAAAGCAGGAGCATCTCTTACCGCAGCAGACGCTACGGGATCGAAGGAACAATTTCTCTGTATCAGTGAGTGTGCTGAATTTCCGAATAAACTACGAACGCATGAAGGAATCAAAAGTTTTGCCATGTCAGAATCGGTCAAATGCGTAGGGATGAAAAAATGACAAAGGGATGTTTTCTATCACACCTGACAGGAATTCACTGAAGGCATGCTTGCTGCAGAAAGCGGTAAAACATAAGACTCATCCACTTGCAGATGAACGCCACATGATGCGGACGAAGCTGCTGTATGGAGGATGATGCGAGTTGCAGGATGACAGCCTTTGTAGGTGCGCTGCACTGATGCAACAATGCGTCGAACTCCAAACTGTGAGGGAGGCTCGATAATTTTCATCACGCGAGCTTTCACAAAATTGACGTTTTCTTTGAAGTAGAATTCCTGTGGTAAGCTCATGGGAAGACAGCCACAAGCGAGAATGAGGGGGAATAAAACAAAAAGAAGTATGGTCGACAGAAAGAAACATTTCATGAGACGCGGCATCATATTTTCGTATGCAGGCTCACGAAGTGCGCTATTGCAACTGTCAGAGAAGGTCTCCGAGACAAGAAGAATGGCGTTTCGTAACTCGAGCTGCTACGTCGACTCAAGAAAATGCAGTTCTATTATGTCACAAGACTCTTGGTTTTCTTTAGAGAAAACATTAATATGAGTGAGACCAAAAAGGTTCACAATCATGAAGTGAGCACTGGTTAAGCTCACCCGACCCAATGTTTAACTCGAAGGGGGTCGGCTGTGATTGAATGTCTTGAACTTTAACTGTATTCGAAAGGGATGCTAAGATTAGATGTATCTCTTACGCTGAGAGATAACAGGAACGATTTAACCTGTGCTTCCCATGTTGACATTATTCAAATTCTTGGAGTTCTTTCCACTGACAAGCAACGGGGGTCAAAGATGAACCCGTCATGCACAGCAGAGAATCGCCTAGATCATCTATCAAAGAAAAATATCGAATCAAAAAACAAAAGCATTACTACGGAAGGAGTCTTTCAGCGGCAAGAATATTTCCGAACTTTCGCGATGGCATATCCTTGTCTCAGAAAACTGTCAGAAAGCAGCAGACTTCCTCAAGTGGCACGTGCGACAGATGTTTTGAATATTCCTGAGGATCCGGCTGCTCAAATAAAAAAAATTATTCAGACCGTATTGCACTAACAACAGACGGGGACTTCCGCTTGTTGATGTGGGAGACACAGAATGCTTGGGTATGTAAGCAGCCGAATTGTATTCTCTGGTCCAGAGTGTTGTCACTCCTCACTTCACCAGTGCGGATGAAGATGTTGTTGAGAGGAGAGTTGATTTGATGAAGTGTTGTACCCTTCGAAGGGTACTCGCATTCAAAAAAAGAATTAGTTTGATAATCAAAAAAATTGCGACTTGAAAACGGTGAGATTCGAACTCACGCCCCGAAAGACTAGTGCCTTAAACTAGCGCCTTAGACCACTCGGCCACGTTTCCTGTTTCGGATCGCTGGAAAATGTACCGCGCGCAGTGTTTATAAAGACATTACTGCAACTTATCCGCATAACCTTGAAAAATCGATATTTTCATGCAATAATGTGCTCCGAACTATCTAGACAATAATTTCATTAAATAAATTTCAACCATTCACATGGGGCCATACTTCAGGCAGCGCACTTTGAGCTGCCACGTGGTTCCACCCGGACACCGGACATCACTAAAGATAAGGCATTTCCATTAGGGCACGTCACACAGCAACAAAATAATGCATTGATAAAATTACCCCCCACAAAATAACGGTGCCAGGGCCTCCCCCTCTTGAGGGAGAGGCATCGATGTTCTTGGCATCACATGAGTTGTGCGGGAATGGCTCTGTTGTGATGCATAATTTATCAATTGAAAACGGACCATCCCATTTAGAATCTGACATGCGTTGGAAACAATTGCACCACTGTAATGTCAGAAAGGATGCGAGAACTCGAAACAACCGTTGCGCTGTTTACGAAAATGGCTACGGGGATTGCAGTCGGTATCGACGGCATCGGTTCCGACTACCACATCATCATCGTTCCGTTAGCGATAGCCGCCAGTCGCCTGCACCTCTTCTGCGCCCCACTCCCTCCTTCAACCCTTCACGATGGGGGCGCTTTTCACGGGCACCGTCATCTTCCTCGTTCTCGGCCTCCTGGCATACTTCGTCGTTTCAGCAATTTACCGCAATGACAAGGATGCTCAAGCGTGCGTTACCCGCTCCCCATCCCCATTTCTTCCTTGCCCTCGTCCGCTTTCTCCCGCGTGGCGCATACTCCTCTCAAAAGAATCTCGACTGACAAACAAACAAAGCCGTTCCGTTCCTATTGCTTCCCGCGCCCAGTCTTGGTCAACTCAGCGTTGTGCTCGCCACTGTCTGCATGTACATCATGTGGGCGACATGCTTCCTGCACCAACTGCATCCGCTGGTAAGACCTATCAAAGAGGGCGCGCACTAAGTGCTCCTAACTGCTCCGTGATAACTGTAACACAAACCCCTCGTCTCCGAGCTCGCAATAAAGACGCCAAGCATCAATTAAGCGCCATACAGGGCCCCCGTTTTTCCAAAGTCAATAAGTACACGCGACTCTACGCCGTGCGCCTACCCTGCGCTACTCCCATCCACTTCCATTCCGTCTGCCGCCACTGGTTTCATCGTGCCGTTAAACTCCTTCACATCCACCCCTTCCTCCTGAATCACTGCAGTATAATTTTTCACCGGTATCACTAAGCAGTCGTCGTCGGCAGAGGTCAATGCGATCGGCTCCCCACCTGAACTGTCTCCACTTGCGCTCTTACGCTTTCCGTGCTTCGGGCGCTTGGCGGGTCGACTACCACCTTGTTTCGTCCGTTTGTATTCCCGCGGTTTTGTTCGTATGTGGTTGCTTCCATTCTCAAGAGCGGGTGACGGTGACTTTGGTCGTCGCTTTTCACGTAGCCGCGCGTTTATCAGCTCATTCACAAGTGATGGTGCGCTGTCGCTCTCGTCTGGGATCGGCTCCGCAGGCACATAAAAGTACGTATCCCTTTCTTCGGAGTCGGAAGAAAACCACCCAGAGTCTTCGTAGGAAACCACATCTACTTCAGCAGCTTCGGCTGCCTCGCGAGCCCGTAGGCGCGTTTCCTCGTCCTCCGGTTCTTTGAGGTCAAACTCATCTTCAGCTTCGATGTACTCCTCGTTTGCCTCCAGTTCTGAAAACTCCGTCGCAAACGCGCTCCAGTTCTCTGTCACATTCTTCGCCCAAATGTAGACTTGTCCCATTCCAATCCCTAAAGAAACAATGACACCACGCAACGGATGCCACTGTATTTGTGATACTCCCTCGCGCGCTCCCTCCAGCGTGAGTTCTAAATGCCCGTCCACCGCGCGCCAGATATGAATCTTGTGCTCGGTCCCCTCCATACCGCCAACGACATACTCCCCATCGCTTGAGAAACAGGCGGAAATGCATTGCGTTTTGTTGACAATTTCAGTGAAGGTAGTCACCGGTTCAACGACAGGGATGGTATTGCTTGGCTTGTCGAGCTCGCGTTGCAGAAGCTGGTCCCGTAGGAATTGACGCATGCAGCGATCGTGCGAGTTGACGAGAACTTTGCCGTTCTTCCGGCTGACGACGATCGCACGCACGGCCGACCGCCCCTGCACAGTAATAATGGAGACACAGGACGCCGTTTGAATATCGTTATCCGGCGGGTATTCATCCTGCTCCGCATTGGGTAACGACTTGCCATCGCCATTCTCTGTGACTTCGGTGGTGTCTTCATCAAAGCCGTTTTCTCTTCGCTTTATCAACTTAAATGAGCGTATGAGCCCGTTTGGACCACCCCGAAAAATTCGATCACCCGACCTTGTGAAGGCTACGCAAAAAGGGCTCTTCTTCCTACCGCCCTTTTTCTCCTTACACACGCCATTTTCAAACTCCTCCTTCGCACAAAGAACTGAAAATTTGATATTGTCTCCACTCACCGGCAGCGAGGAAAATGTCTTATTCCCGAATGAGTTGTGAGGTCTCTCGGGCGACTTGAACGAGCAGCTGGGCGCCAAGCCCAGATGCTGCCCGTTCTTCGCAGGGGCTAACAGCAATACGCTGGGATCGTGAACATGGTGAAAGGCGGCGTCGGGAATATGATAGACGCCCTGTCTCAAATGCAATATCAAGGGATGCGCATTGCGAAGGACGACGATGGCCACAAGAGCATGGCGGGGATGCGGAACGACATTAAGGATTTGTTTTTCAAACGTGAGCTCACAAAGAACTCGTGCGGACAGGGTATCAAACACGCGGACCGTAGACGGATGGTAGGCGACGAGAACTGCGGAGCCATTCCCCGGAGCCGGAAACGCGACATCGAGGATGCGAAGGGCGTCGTCCCTTCCCGTCTCAAGAATGGCGGCTACGGAGCGTGTATCAAAGTCCCATAGCGTGACGTGGCCGTGTACGGTGCCGACAGCGAGAAGGTTTCCGTGGCGGTTGAAGCAGACGCAGGTGGCCTTGTCGCGCTCGAGTATGTCCTCGACGCCCTTGGGCAGGTCCTGGGATGCGAAGGGGTTGAGCAGAGCACGATTCATAGCGGGGAGGACCCTGCACGAGTGCTCAAGGGTCGTCCGCGGGGGGGTTTCCTCGGGACGATGTAGGGGTGCGGGAACGGGCAGGAAGATAAAGGCATGAGGGTGGGGGTGCTCGTGTAATAGACGAAGAGAGGGCCGCGGTTTACGTCATCCCGAATTGCCGCCATTTAGCTTTTTTTGATGCATCGATGATTTTTGCTCTCCAATTCGGAGACCAGCAAGAGCTTTTCAGCATAACCTCACGTTGCCTGCTGCGCTCCTGCTAAGCTGTCGAGCATCTCGGATCTTGTTTTCCTTCCGATCTACACGCAATGGCGTCAGGCTTCGGTATCAACGGTGGTCCCGGCCGCTGCTATTCATTCTGGCTCGACTTCACAAAGTGCTTGGGTAAGCCTCGCCCTCCTTGATCTGCATAGCGCTGCTCCGCTCATTACCCCCGCCACTCCACATGTTCATGTATTAACCCCTGCCTTCTTTACCGTTGACTAATGCAGCTGATGCTGCGATCCCAGCGGATTGCGCGCCCGCACGCGAGGATTACATCGAATGTCTCCATCACAGGAAGGAGTCAGAGCGCCGCCAACAGATCGAGAAGCAGGCCCAGAAGAATGAGCAGGAGAAACAGCAAGCAGACGCCCTCGCGAAGGAGCAAGCGCAGAAGGACGCTTCGTAGATAGCGATGTAAAGGAAACCGCCTTGCTCTCGGGTTAGCCCGCCTTCTGCCAGTGCGACTGCACCGAGCGACTCGGATGACTGCCAATTAATGTTGGCATCCTGCTTGACTGCCGAAGTACGCCATTGGCCGCGAAAGCCGCATGAGAAGAGCATGTTCGGCGTGATCATCTCGGTCATATCAGCGATAGATGTAAAACAATAGCCTTCTCTATTTGTTTAATTCGCTCCTACCGTTGTCGTTCTAAAACAAAGTTACCCAAGTTAATAAGCGCGCTTCTATGCTCGCTAGGCGGCAAAACGCTCACAAGCCCATCAACTGCCTTTTGTACATGCTGCGTGGCGAGTGCCTTCGTCCTTCGAATCCCATCCGCCTTTTCCACAAGCTCGAGCGTCCGTTCCACGTCGCCATCCTGCTTAAATCGCCTGTCTATCATCGGGCCGATCTCCGGGAATTCCTCAAGAGCGAATAAAACTGGCGCCGTCGCAAGTCCCTGCGTAATGTCGTTCAGTACCGGTTTGCCTAAAGCATCCTCCGACGCCGTCATGTCCAGCATGTCGTCGATCAATTGAAAGGCAATGCCCACGTTCTCGCCGTATTGATATGCGGCATCTGCTACATGTTTTGGATGCGCTGCGAGCATCGTGACCGCGCGGCATGAGTTGGCTACTAGAGATGCCGTCTTGAAAAACGTTTTGGCAATGTACGCATCGAACTGAGTCTTCGGCTTGTGGTACGAGCTCTGCTCATCCCGTGCTTGCTCAGTCACATCGCCAATACCTCCGAACACTTCGCCAATACCACCTTTCATCTGAATCACTTCTCCGCGGACAAGGTGCTCAATCACAGTCGACAGCAATTCCACGACGTCGCAATCTCGCAGGCGCGCAAGCGCGACTGACGCACGCGCCAAGAGAAAATCGCCCGCAAGTACGGCGAGCTGATTTCCAAACAATGAGTTGACGCTTATCGCGCCTCGTCTGGTATCAGCGACATCGATGACGTCATCGTGCAGCAACGAAGCGGCATGTATCAATTCTGTAATCTCAGCGAGTCTAAGTTGACTTGGAAGCAAGCGCGGCGGGACGACCGGGGCAACCATGGCCGTGGAGTGAGCCATGAGGAGGACCATAATGGGCCGAAATCGCTTACCCTGCAGCGAGAGCAAGTGAGAGGCAGCGCCGTCCAAGACCGGATGCTGCAGCACCGATACCGTTTCACGAATCGAGCGGGTCATTTTCGCGAGGTCGGCGCCGACGAGAGCGAATGGATCGACAGACGACGAATGGCCTTCAATTGAGGTGCGTAAGGAAGGCACCCATGATTCGGAGGATCCGTTTGGTGTCGCAGGCGCCGTGCGCGCCGAAGCCGTACAGTGCGTGGCGTGCCAGATTGAGGGCAGATTTGAAGAGGCGAGACTGCTGCCTAACGACGGGACTGCATGTCGCAGAAGGCGAGGGAATGTTAGTCGGGCTAGCATGGCACAGGATCAAGGGCACTTGAAGGGCACAACGGCCTGGACGTTCAGGGAGGTGCAAACGTAAAGAGTAGTGAATATGGGCGCAATGTTTGATAACAAGTCCGGCAGGGTGGCTGGGGTTAAAATCGAAAGTCAGCCAATTTTGTAAGGGAATTGGTTGCAAAAAAGGGTTGCTTGCTCCCAGAGTACGTTCTGCAATATACGCTCCATAGCTTGAGGGCAGGCCTGCCGTCTAGGACGACTGCAATGTGAGCAGAGCAGGGCACCGGTAGAATCGGAACTACTCGTATTGCATTACGGAAGATGACGATTTCGGCCGACCTTCTGATTTTATTGGTTCAAATGTCAACCGCCGCATCTGTGTTTTCGACTGTTCTACCGTTGGACATTCTCTGTTCCGGTATTCTGCACAAGACAGCAAACGACGGCAGCTAAATATGTGTTGTGCTGCATCGCAGAGCGCTGTGAAAGTTTTGCATCGCTCAAGGCATTGGATTTCAACCCGCATTCGAGAACGCGCCGCGTTTGTGTGGGACAATTTTACGACAGCTGATGCTAACGGGAGCGATGCAGGATAATACCACGACTGTTACGAGAAGGTATCCTCGTTCTCCTCTTCCGAAGTTTTTTGTTTTTGTTCTTTCTCGTCTGTTTGAATCATTCTGATGAGCAGGTTTGTATTGAAAGCCCTCCAGGTGGCGAGAACATTAAACAATAGGGACAAAGCGCCTCGTGGTTCTGCTCGTCGAATCTTTCACAACCTCCGCAGGATGCCGGCATCACTTTCCCGCTTTTATTATCAAAAATCCCGACTATCCCCATATGTAAGCTTTTCAGTCTCAACTTGAACAAAAAGGACAAAGGCTGCCGACATCAGAGTCGGGCAAATGTGGGCGAAGCTGGCATTTTTTGTGATACATCAAAAAAAACAGCAGGTTTACTGCTCCGTTATCATAGCATCGCTGAGTTTCGATCTCAGGACCGCTGGGTTATGGGCCCAGCACGCTAACCACTGCGCCACGATGCTTGATTAATTGATTGATATGTGAAGCTTGTTTGCTTGTATTTAAATTTGTGTATGCGTACGAAAAATAAAGAAATGGGCGTAAAAATAACCGAAAATCAACTTTCTCCGTCCCCACAGAAAACAGTGTGCTCTTGTATCATTGTCGTGCCGAGGGTGACAGAACATACTTTGTTTGTTTGTGCTACGTTGTGCGCCCCTGCTGCAGACAATTGACCACATGCAAAACTTCATAGAAACGTGATCTTGATTTCGCAAACGAAAACCAGGTAAATGCCGCTTCCTCCTCAGAGCACCCCTATCGGTTTGGCTAAATTTGGTGCCTAAATGTGTAAAATTTTGCGTTTGCATATAGCATTTCTGTGCGCAACACTATCGGTTTAGGAGTAAATTTGAAATTGAAGTGCCCTGATAGGGCATAGTGTACGAGGGGTGCGGGGCATCGAGTACGAGTACATAGAACAGTGTCAATAGTATTGTCAATAGTATTGACAATACTATTGACAATACTATTGACACTGTTCTATGGTCTTTTGGCCAAGTGGCGCCATGTAATTCGCGTCTCTATATGGTCAAATGAGTAAATTTGTCGCCATCCGGCTTCCAATATAGAGATCGATATAGCCAAAAAGGCCAAATTTTTGGAGATAACCAGTCCGATAGGGATGAATGAGGCTATATGTATCTGGATATGCAAAACATTTACATATACACAGCACCGATAGGGGTGCTCTCAGCTACATTATACGGAATCAAATCTACGCATACCTGCCAATTATCGTCAACTCGTACAACTTCATTGCGTTTTGTCTTGTCGGATTGGATTCTCCCAATCCCCTAAATGTCATCCTCCCCAACTCGGAAACGACCACGGTCTTCAGGCGACCAGACGGATGGCCCAACAACTTCATCCGTAGCGCGTCTCCGTGCTGCATCTCGTCAAACTTACCTACGCTCACGCGAGGCTCAGCAACTCGCTCGTCTCGGTCAAGAACTCCAGGATGAACGCGCGCTCTTTGGCGAGGAGCAGCTCTCTGCACGAGAGAAAGAGGACTTGCGGCGGAAGGAGGAGAGATATCGACTCGCTCAGGCCCGGGTTACACTCGGCACCGAGGTCGAGCGAAATGAGTCTGAGAGGTACAAGCTCCCGGACATCGACACCCCGCTTGGCGAAGAACGACCCAAGACATGGGAGGACGAAATAGCTAGAAAACGGTATGAGTCACGCCCGGCACCAGGGGACGAGATGGCGAGAACAGATCAAACAGAGTGGGAAGCCCTGCAGATCAAGAAAGGCAAAGCTGCTTTAGAAGCAGCGCGGGGGAACCAGTTGGAGCTGAACACTCTGGTCGGAAGGGATGGCAAACCCCTTCCTGACGTTTCCAAGCTTTTGGCTGCCTCTAGAAGATCCGAGGACGGCGCACGAGTCCACCGCGAAGCTGAAGAGAGGCGAAGGCGCAACATGATCAATGATCGACGTTCTCTACCTATGTTTAAGCATCGCGAAGCTTTAGTTGATGCCATCAAAAAGCATCAGGTGCTTGTGGTCCAGAGTGAAACCGGAAGCGGAAAGACAACCCAAATTCCCCAGTATCTTGTCGAGGAAGGCTTTGGCCGAATTGTGTGCACGCAGCCAAGACGTGTGGCAGCCATGTCTGTCGCAGCCCGAGTAGCGGACGAGATGAACGTGAAATTGGGATCGGAGGTTGGGTATTCCATTCGGTTCGAGGATTGCACTTCTGACAAAACAGTCATCAAGTATGTCACAGACGGTATGCTACTGCGGGAGTTTTTATCGCAGCCTGACTTGAAAGACTACGATGTGATAATTATTGATGAGGCTCACGAACGATCAATGAGCACGGACATTGTCATGGGCCTTGTGAAAGATATTGCTCGTTTTCGTGGTGACGATGTCAGAGTGGTCATTTCCTCAGCAACCTTGAACACTAAAAAGTTCTCGAATTACTTCGATGACGCCCCAGTATACACAGTCCCCGGGCGCCGTTTTGATGTTGACATTCTATACACAAAGGCTCCAGAAGCAGACTACGTAGACGCATGTTGCGTAACAGTTCTTCAGATTCACGCTAAAGAACCTAAAGGCGATATCCTCGTCTTTTTGACCGGACAGGAGGAAATTGAAGCGGCAGAAGAGATGTTGAAGGAGAGGACACGAGGGTCTGGGTCAAAGATTGGAGAGCTGATAATAGCGCCAATTTACGCAACTCTCCCCTCAGAAATGCAAGCTAAGATTTTCGAGCCCACTCCGGAGGGGGCACGGAAGGTTGTTCTTGCCACTAATATCGCAGAGACATCAGTTACCATTCCGGGTATCGTTTATGTCATCGATCCAGGGTTTTGTAAACAAAATTCGTACAACCCTAAGACTGGCATGGAAAGCTTGCTTGTTGTGCCAGTTTCACGAGCAGGAGCGAAGCAGAGGTCTGGTCGAGCAGGACGCACGCAGCCAGGGAAATGCTTTCGATTGTACACAAAGTGGTCATTTCTGAATGAAATGGATGAAGACACGGTTCCTGAGCTGCTTAGGACCAACCTGTGTCAGGTTGTTTTATTGCTCCTTTCACTGGGCATTGACAACTTGATAGACTTTGACTTCTTGGATGCCCCCCCTGCGGAGGCGTTGCTACGTTCTTTGGAACAACTTTATGCGCTCGGTGCATTAAATGAAGAAGGAAAGCTAACCAAAGTCGGCAGGCGAATGGCAGAGCTGCCACTGGACCCAATGATGGCCAAAGCTTTGCTCGCGAGTGAAGAGTACGGGTGCTCAGAAGAAGTCATAATCATATGTGCCATGCTGAGCGTCAACAATGCCATTTTCTATAGGCCAAAAGATAAGAAGGTAATAGCAGATGCAGCACGAGCTGTCTTTTCAAGAGGCGGTGGTGGAGACCACATGACTCTACTGAACTGTTTCGTTCAATGGAGAGACTATGGTTATTCGCATCAGTGGTGCCGAGAGAACTTCGTACAGGGCAGAACTATGAAGAGAGCCAGAGACATACGAGATCAGCTTGACGGTTTATTGGATCGTGTTGAGATTAAAAGATCCTCAGTCGGCACCGGTAGTAAAGTTCCTATCTTGAAGTCCTTCACATCGGGATTCTTCTACAATGCTTGTCGCCTTCAGAAAAACGGAAACTATCGAACGATGAAGAATCCACACACCATCCAGCTGCACCCATCTAGTTGCCTGGCAAGGTCTGAAATACGTCCGAGATGGCTCATATACCATGAACTCGTCTTTACATCAAAGGAATACATGAGACAGGTGTTCGACATTGAGGGCCGCTGGCTCTTCGAGGTGGCTCCCCATTTTTATGGAGAGGAAGATGTTGAAGATACGTCCAAGCGGAAAATGCCGAAAGTGGTTGGCAAATCGGGAGGTCGCTCATAAACTTCTTTTCCTGGGATGCATGAGCAGGATTTGTTCTACCATTTGCTTTATTTATGAGTTCTCTGTGTTGCCATCCTGCCGCACAGAGACGGTCAAAAGACTTTGCAGATATACTAGACGGTTATTTAAGCCTTCAACTTCTTTTCGCAGGTGCGTGTTCTCTCCGAGAAGTCTGCTCAAGCGACCCTCATATTCTGCAGCAATCACTTTGCGTCGCACTCTAGACAACTTAGCACTCTCCCTGTTTTGTTCCTTTCGGAAAAGGGCGCGTTCCTCATCACTGAGCTCGGGGTGCTTTCGTTTTCTACCTCGCTTTTTGCGCGCTGGCGGTGTCGGCAGTGGCGGAAATCCCATTCCGGGATCACCCTCCCTCCCAGGCAATATCGGACTTGGATAGAATCCATTGAGAGGCATGCCAATCGGCCCCATTGCAATGGGTGGGGCCGGAGCGATTTTTTTCGCCTGTCGGATTGGAGGCGATACAGCTGTGCTTGGTTTGATGGGTTTGGCCGAATCACAAGGCTGCGGTGACGCCGATGACGAAGCCGACTTTCTTGAGCTCTGTGTCCCTGTCGAACTTGGTAGGGGAGATGTGGGCTCTGTATGAGAAGAGTTTGATGCAGAGTTTGCAGGTCGGTTAAGAGATTGAGCTGTCCCTTCGGCGTGAAATTGCGTCATATGCACATCCTTATCCGATGGCGAACACGTACTGACTCCGCCTTCACCATCACCGCTAGTATTCGCTTCTTCTTCCTCCTCTGAATCTTCTTGAGTATTGCCCTCAAGGTGTGACGATTTCCCTTGAGCACTGCCCTTTTGTAACACTTCAGCAGTCTCTGCCTCGATGCGCTCTGTCTCTATGTCGCGCTGAGCCTCGGCATCGAGTCCGTGGAAGTAGTCGTTGAGCTCCTGTCCTTCCTTTGTCTTTTCCAAAACGCCGCTCTCCCTGACCACACCAACCTCCCACGTCTTCATGACATCCTCCAACCAAGTACTCTTAGCATCAGCAGCCATACGCAGCGACCCGCCACTCGGCATTTGCGAACCGTTGGTGACCTCTAGATTGCCATCTCTCCCCGGCATGTCCGTCAAGGCCATACCATTGGTGCTGTTTCCAATGGTAACCGCGTGTGCTGCCTGCTCATTAGCAATCTTGACATCCTCCATTGGCGCTCTAAGCTCTCTTTCCTTCCGTCTAGCAGCTCGCGCCTCTCGTATCGCCGCAATGCTGGGCTGCGCCGCTGTTGAAACGCGAACAGTAAGCGCAGGATCTTGGTCCTGTTTCTGGTGTGCGTGCGGTCCTGCTGGCTCTGCAAACGCGGCAGCGGCTTTGGGCGGAAACAGTAACGGCAAGCGGCGACTGAGGCCGAGGGCGACCTCTGCGGGGGTAGCGGCCTTGTGCTGGGGCGCATCGACTGTGTCTTGCGGTAACATCCTTCCCGGGCGAGTGAGTATGGCATTGAGCATCGTAAACTCGGAGGCATCCAGCTCTTTTGGGGTCTCCCTGGCTGCCTCAACGGCGCCCTCACGAAGGAGGGCAGCCGTGCGCGCGTCATTAGGAGACTGCTGATGAAGGGAGGGATCGACGGCCGCGGCGCATAAGGCCTCCATGTCCTTGACACCATTCGAGACAGTCTCGACAACGGCGCAAGCCGACTGCAGGGCGGCGGCTTTGGCGGCGGGATCTCCGCCGCCGGAGCCAATAAGGGTGAGCAAGCTGCCGGCATGCTCATACGCATCGATGATGTTGGTGTCCAAGAGCGAGGCGCCAGGCGGCAGGTCCTCGTTTCCAAAGGTCAAGCGGAGGTCGTCGGACGACTGCCCAGGGCGTATCAAAGCGGAAAGCTCGTCGACGGTGGAGGTGATTGGAACGTCAATCTGGGAGTGCTCACCGTTCAGGCCGCGCACCAGCAGTGGTATGGTGCCGGGTTTGACATCGGTGAGGTTGGAGAAGACGTCGAGGTCGCCAACGCTGCGCCCGGATCGCATGTCACCGATGACGGCGGCGTCATCTTCTGGTATTGACAGACGGGCGTCAGCGAACAGCGAGGGAGCGTCCTCTGACGACGGGGTTGCCATGGCGGCTACGAGAACGGAAGCGGGTGGAGGCGGGAGGGGTAAGGATGCGGGGATGTGCGTGCTTAGACGTGGTCGTTGGGGGAGCGTAAGGGGGGTTGGGGGAGGGGGATTAGTAGGAGTCTTTGGTTGGAATGAGAGTGTCCGATGTTGTTAAAATTTAGAGAGCCAGCAGAGCCAGGGGTGAAACAAAAAGCAGATAAAGGTAGACAGCGCCAAAAGCCCATGGCAACCTCCACAGCAGCTTCTAAACCAATCAAGTTCTGCGGCGCCCGCCACCTCTCACCGTCACCTCTTCAGAAGGGGTGACGTGGTGGGGGTGCTTCTGCGTCTTCTCTCCCTCTGTCCACCCTCAAATCTATCCATGGGGCTCCACGCCCTCGTCACCGTCGGCTCCACGTCCTTCCCCGTCCTCACGGACTACATGCTCACGTCCCCTGCGCTCGCGCACTTGCACGCCCTAGGTGTTCACACTCTTACGGTCCAGCACGGCGCCGCCGCGCTCCAGGCCGTGCCGGAATCGTGTCCGCTGCGCGTCGAAGCGTTTCCGTACACGCCCGACCTTGCCGCCCATCTGGACGTCGCCGATCTCGTTTTGTCGCATGCAGGCGCAGGCACCATTTCCGAGGGCCTGGACAAGAAGAAGCGCATGCTTGTCGTCGTCAATGACGCCTTAATGGACAACCATCAGACAGAGCTCGCAGCCGCCATGGCGGAGAGAGGGTGCTGTGTCATGATCACAGCCAACCAGCTGCGCGAACGCTTTCACGACGCCGCCGAGAAGGCTATTAACTTGACAGAGGAAGATATTTGCCCGCCGGAGAAGAATCAGACTGCTTTTGCAGCTCTGCTCGCACAGCTCATCTGCACGTACGATGAGTCGTAGCATGCAGCAGGCGACATGTCTACTGGGCCAGCTAACCTTAGCCATGAGCTGGACAGGCCCGCGCGATTATCTATAGGCCTTCGTCCGCTTGTGGTCATCTCTCCTATCCCTGTAACAGATATTGCCTTGCACGAAATCTTTGCTCAGGCGGAAACTACTACACCACATTTCCACTCGTCTTGACTCAAATTACGACGAACATGTAACACCGCGCTGGAGCCTACGCATTAGCTCATGGATGCCCACAACGCGAGGCTCTTTGCACATTAAATTCCGACCGGCTCAACCATGCTTTTCTTAATGCCGATGCTAGTGCCACCACGCCGCAAGCTCGAAACTACGACATGTACATTTACACGTATAGAAATAGACTTGAGCCGCGTCTGTGCGACGGATATTCACGTGTTTCCACGTGTAACTCAGGGTCGTTCTGTGTGCAGTAGGTATGTGGATCAGATACAGTACCCTCGCGATAACTGCAACACCTGGGGAGACCCCCCTCTGTTGCAGTTACCGCCTGGTTTCAGTTAACAAGCCTTATGATAGGGCCTAGCATCCATCCCATTAGATTCTAGGATCCAACACCCCAAAATTTTATTTGAAAAACATGTATATATTTTGACAATCTTTGGCCGTCGACCATCTGTCGCCCGACCGAGGACTGAATTTTTTGTAACCCCTTCAAAACAGCCCATATGACGCTCTGAAGGTATTTTACAAACCTTGCAATTATCAGATCTGAAACGGTCTTATTTTTTAGTAATTTTTGAGAGACTCCGGAAATGGTTCCCTACTTGCCGTTTCATTTATCGGGTAGTTGCAGTTATCGGGGGTTGCAGTTATCGCGAGGGCACTGTACAGTGTTTGTGGTAGACTCTCAATCTTTCAGTATGTTTAGAAGTATGTGCGTCAGAGACTCACCCCCGGTTCTAGTTTGCGGTCACATCGCAAACATTCTTTTTCTTGACTGCCAGCTGTGCTGCCAGCGTCGCATCCGTCTGAGGCTTTATATTGAAAATTTCAAGAAAAGTTCTGTAAGACAAAAAGAGTACAGAGCTCAAACTCCGTTGTGAGGGCTCTACGTTTCGCACTCGCCAACATTTTAGGGTACAGTACCCGGCATGTTGCCGGGACGGCGTCGGGTCGGATCTGGATGATAGGTACTTCCGACAATGTCGCCGCCTGCTGTTGCATACAGCAACAGGAATTCGTCAGCACAGGAAAGACGCCAGGGCTGTTCGGAAAAGTCACTTTCTAGAGGTCTTCACGAGCCAAACCTTGGGGTAACCGCTTCCTCTCTACTGCTGACGTTCTCTCTCCAGTGCAGTCCCTTGCTCTTGTATGATGAGTCGCTCTGAAAGCCTGCCAAAGAAAAGCGTTTCAGAAAGACAACGGGACAAACACACATCTGTGTTACTAGCGGCTGTAGCTGCTTTAATTCTAGAGGAGGATTCTGTCAATCTGGTTTTTGCAAAATTGCGACTCGAGCGAATTTCAAATGCACACCGGGTTGCGCCACGGCGGGTGAACGCTGAAAGGCAAAGGACGCATATAAGTTTCGAAGAGAGTATTGCATTATATAGCAATGAAGAATTCGAGCATGCATTTCGAATGAGTAGGCATTCTTTTTATGTTCTGCTGGAGACGTTGGGTGATGACCTAAGGAGACGAAAAGCACGAAACACTGTGAAACCCGCCGCAAGATTGGGCATAACACTGCGCCTTCTTGCCGGTGGCAGCTACGTAGATGAGATGCGGCACTATGGCCTTGGCAAAACCACAGTGTACGCAATTTTCAAAGAGACAAGGGTTTCTCTGCTTCGCAGATTACCATTCCCAGATGTTCTCGGGTGCCAGGATCAACTGTGGCGGCTTGACGAAGAGTTTAAAGTTTCTCGAAGGAGCGTGAATCCTTTGACGGGATGCATAGGGGCTTTGGATGGGATATGTGTCAAGGTCAAGCGGCCGGAGACTCGCCACGGTCCAGCAGGATTTTATTGTAGAAAGTGATACTATTCTGTACCAGTTCAGGCGCTCGTGGATGCCCGCTATCGATTTGTCCTTGCATCCGCAAAGTGTAAGGGGTCAACACATGACTCTCTAGCGCATTCAATGTCATTCTTAGGCCGATATCTAGCCGCAGGTTTGCTACAAAATGAGTTTTGGGTAGCAGGGTACGAAGCATATGCTTGTGATGAAAGCTAATTAACTCCTTATCCTGCCTCTCTACTCCAGGGCTACCCATACCGCGACGCTTACAATTTCTTTCAATCCTCCCTGCGTATGCACGTCGAACAGGCTTTTGGATATCTGGTTAACAAATGGAGAATTTTACGGCAGATGGAATTTTCATTAGAAGTCAGCATCGAAATAATTATTGCCACCATGAAGCTGCATAACTTCTGCATTAACCAAAACGGTCGGCAACACCGTATTAATTTGTACAGTTCCGATTCTCTTGCAACGTTGAGGGAAGACAGTGATGACTGGTATCGTATCGCCAAAGAGGACAACTGGCAGATTGTGACAATGCTCCGCGAATCATCAGAGGCGGACTTCGCGCGAGGTGCTTCTAAACGAAGGGAGAAGATGGTAGCGTTTCTGGAGGGCCGTGGCATCCTTCGACCTTAACATGCAGGTAGGATGGTAACTGGTACTAGGAAAAAGGTAGTCGTCCGCAATTGGTGGGGTGGTGGTGGAAAAACAAATCGTTTGGCATGTTGTAAGTTGAACATGTCATGATAGTAATATTTACTGAGCATCCTTTCTACTTTCTTGCTTTCACGGCACGCCCGGGGTAACGCGGTGTTGTCTGCAGCGGCGCGCGCGCATGCGCCCCGGCCCGGAAGAGCAGGCGGCGCGGACAAAGGAAGGCGCGCGCCGCGCAACGGACGGCGCGCAATCTCGCCGCAAGATCTTTCTCGGGAGCGCATCTCGCCGGGCTAGGGGGGCTGTTCCCCACGGCGGGCTTCCTCACCTACGTCCTCATGGGCGCGTTGGCGGGGGCCGTCGCTGCCATGGTCACCATGCCCGCCGACGTGCTGGTCACCAAGCCAGTATATACATGATAATATGGTATATGCATCTTTCGAATGCAAAAGATTGCGCGCGAGAAGGGGTGCGTATTTTGTACGCGGAAGTGAGGCCGCAGTTTACCGGCGGTTACATGCGTCGCGCGGGGGCGGGGGAGCATGCGCGGCAGGGGAAGGCGCGGGGGCGAGATGCACGAAAGCTCTGTGGCGGGGTTGCGCGCGCTTCGCACGCTGTCGAGAGATGCGGTATACGCGGCGCGAGTCGCTCGCGCGCGCTCCCGACCGCGCCAGCTGTGGGCGTTCCGCGCGGCTCTGGGGCACGCCGCTTCGTTGTGCGCGCTCGTGCTGGCGCGGCGGCACTGGTGCGGACACGCGTGGGGTGGCGGGCGCGGTGCGTGGCCACGCAATCTCGCCGCAAGATATTTTATCACAGGAGCAAAAAGGTTTTCCACCCCGACGCTGCGCAGTACCTCCGAGCGCACAGCGAGCGGACGCCGAGAGATTCGGTCAGCAGATGCTTTCCAGCGGGCAAGCGCGCGATGCGATGCAAGTTGTGAGTTAACACACAAATAAATTATAGGTCGCTCGCTAGAAGACAAACTGTGGGCTTCTCGCTTGGCCGCGTGGCCTTCGCCGCGCTACCCTTTGATAACGGCCATCGGCCGCAGCTTCAGGCACTTTCGCGAAGTCCCGGCTTGGTCGCATGTGTCCACTACCACGGGTACGTCCTTGTAACTATGCAAGCACGACACAAAAAGAGAACAAGACAGCGCAAAAAACAAGCACACTGGGTTAGCAAAAGAAAACCGCTGCGACTCTCCTTTTTCACAACACGAAAGAAAAAAACTTGACGCCTTCCTGTCACCTACCTCTGGCGCCTCCTCAGTGATCAGCTTTGGCGACGCGACGCGAATCGCAATCCCCTTTCCCTCCAAGTTGTTCAACACCTCTTCATAGTTAAGCTGCCGCCGGCAAGCGGACCGGCTCTGCGCCCGCCCCGCCCCATGGCACGTCGACCCAAATGTCTCTTTCATCCCATTTTCGGTCCCAAGCAACACATAGCTGCACGTCCCCATCGTCCCTCCGATCAGCACGGGCTACCCCATCATCTGGTAGTCGTACGACACTAGCGGATGGTGCGGCGGAAAAGCCTGCGTCGCCCCCTTACGATGCACCAGCAACTTCCTCACCTTCCCATATATTTGTTGAGCGTTTCTACTTTGGCAATGTTGTGGCTCACGTCGTAGATCACGTCTATGTTCTGCTCTGCCGGCGACTTTCTAAATAACTTTGCAAACGCCTGTCTCGCTAAGAACGTCATCAAGCTCCGGTTGACCCAGGCAAAATTCGCTGCGGCTGCCATTTCGGCAAAATAATTGCTCTCGATCCTCGCACACGGGAGCTGCCTATCATTCACCTCGATCCTATCCCTCGCCAGCGCCTTTTCCATATGCTGCAACGCATCCGTAGCCACCTGATGTGCCAAGCCCCTGCTCCCCGAATGGATCATGGCGACGACTTGTCCCACAGTTGTGGCGCCCATCGCCGCAGCCGCCGTTTCATCAAAGATCTCAACCACAATCTGTATCTCAGCGTAATGATTGCCGGCGCCTAGCGTGCCTATCTGCTCAAGCTGCGCTTCTTTGCGCATGCAGACACTTCGCACGGGTCTGCCTGGAGCATGCGGCCATTCTCCTGGCAGTACTCCATGTCCTCGGGCCAGGCATTGCCCTCACGCAGGGACTAATCCATACCGAGCTCCAGGGCGGCCTCGAGCGACTGTATGGTCGTCGAGATGATGCCTTTTGAACCGACGCCGACAGGAATGTGGTCGAAGAGCGTCTGGGCGAGCACATCCTTGAATGTATGGACATCCTGCTCCATGAGATTAGTGCGCAGCGGACGGACAGCGCAGTTTATGTCAATACCCACACCACCCGGCGAGACAACGGCTTGCGGGTCGTCCATATCGAAGACCGCGACGTTCCCGATGGTAAAGCCGTAGCCTGAATGGACGTCAGGCATGGCGGTGGAGCGTGCGACGATTCCCGGGAGTGAGGAGACGTTGGCGATTTGCTTGACGGCGGGCAGAAAGCCGCCCGAGAGAGACGGGGTTTTGGCGGCGTGCACTGTGAAGTCGCAACAGGAAATGAATGAAAGCTTACTCCTTCATGGTATGCTATCGAAAGGCTGCAGAGACAATCCGAGCGTTCGTTATCTATTCAATGTCGATGTGTCTCTTGCCGCTATGTGC